ATATTTTTAATCAGATCAAATTTGACTTTGATGTGCAACGTTCCATATATTTTTGTTTGCTTTTTGCTAAAAGTTCTGAAAATGTGTTGATTAAAAGATTCTTCTTCTTCTTCTTTTTTTTTTTCCCCAAACAAACAAATAAATAAACAGACAGATAGACAGACAAACAAACAAAAAAACATAAACGTAAATCTGATTGGTGAGGAATCGTTTAAAAAAACCCTTGCTGTATTATCCTATTAGAGCTTTAAATTAAGAAAGTTTTGCGTGATCGACACGTTTGTTCGATAGTCAATGTCAAATAAAGTTTGAAAACAAATGTTTATAGAACTGCGCAAATTATATAAAATTATTTTGTATGCAGTTATTATATTATATGTATATTTGGTGTAACATTATGTTACATAAAAAAAAAAGCAAATGTTTTAAAAAATTTTTTTTTTCTCTCGGCTTTGAAATTTTGGGTTAAATTGGTTGTATTGGGATTAAATCTATTTATTATTCAAATAAAAGTCGATGATGGCAGCTTCAACTCTGGTCCATACAAATTTATTCGTAAATTAATATATGATTTTTTAAAAACCACCAATAACGTAAATTGTAAAATTACAATAATTAATTAATAATGATGATAACATTACATTATTCGCTAGTAGAAGGAGGCTAGTGAATGTTTTTGAGGCTCATGTATGTGTATTCATGGACGAATTGAATTGGTTGTTGAATGAATTGAATGTATGAATGTATGAATGAATTGAATATATGGTATAGAGGGATGGTTTGTATGAATGAGTCAATGAATCAATGGATAGATATATAGAGTAGAATCGGATTTGAGTTTGAGATCGAGGGGTTGAAAAAGAAAAAAAGAGAGAGAGTCGAGAGTGAAGGAGGAGAGGAGAAAAAGTTGGTTTGTTGGTTGGGTGAATTAATTTAGCCTGATAATCATAATCATATTGAGAATATTTTGCTAGCTTTTAACCGTTAATTATAATTTTAATTATTATAGTGTGAAACTAACTAAAAAATTTTTTGAAACTATGAGTTTTTTTTTCTTTTTAAATGTTTTTTTACTTTTGTGAAAATAAAAAGGAAATTTTTTTTGAATTATTTCTTTTTATTATTTTTATTGAAATTAATTAATTAATTAATTAATTAATTAATTAAATTAATTAAATTAATAATAATATTAATAATAATTATAATTATAATTATAATAATTATTATAATATAACAACAACAACAACAACAACAACAACAACAACAATAGTAATAGTAATAATAATGAATAAACAAAATTGACACCATTAATAACAAACATGATTAGTTCGTGTAAATTGTGACTTTGGCAGATTGAAATAAGCTTTTTTAAATTTAGAATTTGTTACAAAATGTGTTGTTTATTGAAATGAATGGATGAATGAATGAATGAGGGAGTAAATGAGAGAGTGAATGAGTGAATGAATAAAAGAATGAATGAATGAGTGAATGAATGAGTGAATGAATGAGTGAGTGAGTGAGTGAAACGAGTTTATGTATATAGATGTATAATAAACAGAAATGTATTTGGCGGAAATTAACTGACCGATACGAAGAACTTTAAATTTCTTATTTTATTTTTTACAAAAAAGAAATCAATTACAAATTTGTTGAATAGAATAGGATAAATATTTATTGACGATGATACACTGTGGTGTGATATGCATAACATACATATTGATATTATTATATTTAACAGTTTATAAAGGAACCTTAATGTGCCCAACAAGGTAATAAATAAGGTCATACGATCGATCAAAATTCTTCAAAGAGGGAAAATTAAAAAATTCTCCTCTCCTATCAATTAATTACATAAAATGACAAATAATTCATTTTAAATTTATTTATTTATTTATTTAATGAATTATTATTATTATTATTTTTTTAAAGGGTTTTTTTATCCCGTCTCTTTCTTCCAATTAATTGTTTTCTTTAACAAATAACATATAAATAGAATAATCAAATTGATTTTATTGGTAATTCGAAACATTTGATTTTAAGCACAGTAAAGTAAAGTTAAATCTAAGTTTATTTATTTATTATAACTACGAATTAAACTGAGACAAACTGTCGTTTTGTAATGTTGTACAATAACGGATTTTAAAAATAAAATTGGCTTTTTTTCTTGGAATTTTCTCGATCATTCAAATTGTTTATTATGTAATAATATCATTATTACTATAGGCAGGCAGGTGCTAATGACAAGATTGATGGGTTGTGATGAATTGTTATATTAATTAATAAAAGAAAGAATTCAAATAATAATAAAGGTGATGAAATTTAAAAAAAAATAAAATAAATGGTAGTACCTATAATCTCCATATCTTATA